TCACCCGAGCTGGCACTGTGTGCTCTCCTGCTCCTCCCCAAGGTCACAATGACCAGGAAAGGTCAGCATGTTGAGTCCATTCAGGACTCCGACGCGGCCCGGACAGCACAACTGGAGACCCTCAGGAGGGAGGACCCAGAGCTGCTGCAGACAGCGGCCGGCCGGGAATAAATTAACTTGCTTACTTTCTCCTCTGTCTCTCTCTGTCTCTCTCTCTCTGTCTGTCTCTCTCTCTGTCTGTCTGTCTCTCTCTCTCAGTGTATTTGGTTGTCACAGGATCTCACTATGCATTTTGGACTCGTAGTGACCCTCCTGTCTCAGCCTCCCCAGCGCTGGGATTACAGGCGTGCGCCCCACGCCCGGCCTCGGTCACCAGCACAGCAGGGCCGGTGCGGCGTGGGCACCGGGGATCGAACCCTGGTCCCTGCGCTTGCCAGAGCAGGCGCTTAGTCCGCTGACCTGCATCAGCAGCCCAATAACTTGTTTTTAAAAATTAAACCTTTACTGCTTTTTGTGTCACACCTCGTACCTCAGCCTTGAATGCCGTGAACCGAGCTGACGCCGCGCTGCCTGCGGGGGTCTGTGCTGCGGCCGGGCTCGGTGCTGGGACAGGCGTGCCGGCGCTTCTCCGAGTGCTGTCCAACGAATGGCTCAGGTTTCCCCATTTAAAAAAATAGTTATCACCTCAATGACTGTTTCGCACGTTCCCCGATCGGGTCCGGGCGCGGGGGCGCATGCCTGTAATCCCGGCACTGGGATTACGGTAGTTCCTGGTTCTGAGCACGTGCTGGAGCTTGTGAAAACTAAGCGCAGGTGGGAAGCAGAGCCCGGCGCCGCGGGCAGGAGGGAGGCCGGCCGCCCGCTTGCGCCCACCAGGGAGGGCGGCGCACCGTGCCGCTGAGCTCACGCGGGCGTCGGGGTCACGGGCGCCGTGATTCTTACGCTTTTTAATGAGCAGCGTCTAGAAAAGTGTGACGCGGAGGCTCGCGGGCAGAAGGTTGCCTTTAAAGGAAAAAAGAATAAAAAGGAGTAAAAGACCCAAAACTACCCCAACACAGAACTTCTACAGAGCGACGGACTCAGCAAGGATTTCTGTGTTGCGTAGTGTCCCCTCCGAATTAGTGGTTCCGGCCGCCAGGTAAAGGCTCGCAGCTCCAGGCAGGACATCACAGAGTGAGCGCGAGAGGGAAGCCGAAGTCGCGTCAGCCGCCCCCCCAGGAGCCCGACGCCACGCGCCAATTGCGGAGCCGCCTCGGGGCCCAGTTTTTTGTCAGCTGCTGCGTGGCTGGGGAGCCCCGAAGCCGGAGAAGCCCTGTGTGTCCCCAGCCGGTGGACACTGGCTGTGCTGTGTGCACGCCCCCTTTGGTTGTGTTGTTTTGCTGAGTTGGGACGGGGTCCTGCGGTGTAGCCCGCACTGCTCTCGAGCTTGCTGAGACCCTCCTGCCTCAGCCTCCGGGTGCTGGACGGCAGGCGAGTCCCACCGCAGCCGGCCCAACTTTGGCAGTTTAGAAACGATCTTCCTGCGCAAGAGCCCCGCACGTCGACGCGTCTGGCCCTGTGCCCCTGGGGTCCATGGGACTCTTGCACATTCCGTGGCCCCAGTTGGCGTGGAAGGGTGGCTGCTGTGGCCGTGGCTTTGAGCTCTTCTTGTTCGACTCATAATCCTCCCTGTGTCCCCGCAGGTTCGGGTCCCGCGCCAAGGTGGTCCACTTCTTGGGGTCCAGGAAGCCGTGGAACTACGCCTACGACCCGCAGACCGGGGCCGTGGTGGACCAGGGATCAGCCTCGGGCTCCGTCGGCCGGCAGCAGGAGCCCTTCCTCAGCCTCTGGTGGCGCGTCTACCACGGCCACGTGCTGCCGCTGTGTGCCTGCGGCCCTGCCGCCCCGAGCCACGCGGCCCCCGGCCCCGGCGTAAGGCTCCCGGCCCTCGCGCTCTCCTGCGCCCTCGGTGCGCCGGGCGGGCCCTGCGGGACAGTGTGCTCCGTGCGGGTGTGGGCGGGACGCTGCC